GATGGGGTGACTGGGTGATAGACATTGGGGAGGGTATGTGCTACGGTAAGCGCTGTGAATTGTGTAAGACTGATGAATCACAGACCTGTATCTCTGAAACAAGATAGTAGGAAGGAAAAAATGAAGGGGGGGGAATCAAAGGGGGAGACGAACCATGAAAGACTATGGATTCTGAAAAACAAACTGAGGGTTCTAGGGGGGAGGAGAATGGGGGGATGGGTTAGCCCAGTGATGGGTATTAAGGAGGGCATGTTCTGCATGGAGTACTGGGTGTTATACACAGTGAATCATGGAACATTACATCAAAAACTAATGATATAATGTATAGTGACTAATATAATAAAATAAAAATTAAAAAAAACCCTGCTGCATAATACACTGTATGACTTGATTTAAATACTTATTCTACTGACAGGTTGTTATCCAAATGTTTTTGGCAAACATATATATATATATATATGTATATACATATATATATATATAAAGCTGCAATGAAGATTCTTCTATGTCTTTTCTTGGGCATAAGCATTAATTTCCATTTGGCATATACTCAAAAGTGGAAATACTGTGCCAGAAGTTATGTTTACATTTAGCTTTAGTAGGTACTTCCAAACATATTCAACTTGCCCCAATTTGCGCTTTCACCAGCAATGTAAGAGTTCCGATTGCTTCCAATACTTGCCAAAGCTAGATATGGTTACTCTTTTTCGTTTTCAGGTATGCTTTAATATCTTTAGTTTAAATTTGCATTTGATCAGTAATTACATTGGGCACTCTTTCATATATTTACTGCCCATTTTGATACCTAGTTTTACAAAGCATCTGTTCAACTCTACCTATTTAGACAGACTTCCTTTTTTGTTCTTGAACTATAGGCATCCTTTTCAATATTCTGAATCAACATTCTCATCTAGATATGTATTACAAATACCCATCATCTTTTCACTCTGGGGGATCTCTGAGGAACAGAAGTTAATTTTAATTAAATCAAATTTATCGGGGTACCTGGGTGGCTCAGTCGTTAAGCATCTGCCTTTGGCTCAGGTCATGATCCCAGGGTCCTGGGATTGAGCCCCGCATTGGGGTCCCTGCTCAGCGGGAAGCCTGCTTCTCCCTCTCCCACTCCCCCTGCTTGTATTCCCTCTCTCGCTGTGTCTGTCAAATAAATAAATTTAAAAATCTTTTTTAAAAAATAAAATAATCAAATTTAACTATCTTTTCCTGTATGGTTATGCTTTTTGTCTTAAAAAGTATCACCTCCCCTAAGTTCATGAAAATATTGATTTTTTTAGATCTCTGATAATTTCCATGTATGATGTGCAATGGGCATCTAGGTTCATTTTTTCCCAAATGGATGAGCAACAGACTTAGACTATTTAAAAGACTTTTTCCCCCCATTTAACTCTATTGGCATCTTTGTAACAAACCAAGTGACTATACATGAGAGTCCTTTTCTATATGTCTATACTTGGGCCAATAAAACTGTACTAATTACTACAGCTGTATTATACTAAGCCTCAGTGTCTTGCAGTATAAGTTCTCCAGCTTTGTTATTTTTCCTCATTATTGTGTGGCCATTCATCAACTTCTACCAAAACCATTAGCTGAGATTTTGACTGAGAATGCACTGAATCTATAGTTCAATATGCACAGAACTGACATCTTATCAATACTGAGTTTTGCAATCCATGGAAATCATACATCTTTCTGCTTATTTAATTTCTTGCAGAAATGTTTTGTATTTTCAGCATAGAGGTCTTGAACAACTTTCAGGTATTTCAAGATTTACTCCGAAGAATTTTTTGGTTACATAAATGGGTTTTCTATTTTGTTTTTTACTAAGTATATATAATTATCACTGATCTTTCTGTGTCAACCTTATAGTCAACAACCTTAATAATTCACTTATAATTTCTAATAGTTCAAATATTCCTCTGAAGTTCCTATGTACTGCAACATGTCATCTACAAATAATGTTTTATTTTTCCAATCTCAATACCTCTTTTCTCCTTGTTGCATCAGCTAGAATCTTAATACAGTGCAAAATGGCAGTGATGGCAGTGAACACCCTTGTCAGCTTTTCCTTCAGTGGGAAAACATTCAGTATTTTATCATTACGGTGATTGCTACAGATTTTGTAAATTTAAATTCAATTTAGTTAACATACAGTATATTATTAGTTTCAGGACAGAATTTAGTCATTATTTCACTTGCATATAACACCCAGTGCTCATTACATCAAGGGTCTTTCCTTAATGCCTATCCCTCAATTATCCCTTCCCCCTACCCACCTCCCCTCCAGCAACCCTGTTTGTTTCCTATAGTTAAGAGTCTTTTATGGTTTGCCTCCCCGTTTTTATCTTATTTTACTTTTCCTTCCCTTTCCCTGTATTCATCTGTTTTGTTTCTTAAATTCCACGAGTGAAATCATATGGTATTTCTTTCTGTGACTTATTTCGCTTAGCATAATACCCTCTATTTCCATCCATGTCATTACAGATGGCAAGATTTCATTCTTTTTGATGGCTGAATAATATTCCACCATATATATACCGTTGCCTTTATCCATTCATCTGTCAATGGACATCTGGGCTCTTTCCATAGTTTGGCTATTGTGGACATTGCTGCTGTAAACATTGGGGCACATGTGCCCCCTTTGAATTACTATTTTTGTATCCTTTGGATAAATACCTAGTAGTGCAATTGCTGGATCATAGGGTAGCTCTATTTTTAACTTTTTGAGGAACCTCCATACTGTTTTCCAGAGTGGCTGCACCAGCTTGCATTCCCACCAACAGTGTAGGAGGGTTCCCCTTTCTCTACATCCTCACCAACATCTGCTGGTTCCTGAGTTGTTAATTTTAGCCATTCTCACAAGTGTGAGGTGGTATCTCATTGTGGTCATATGATTTTTCTCTATTCTGTAGATGTAGTGAATTACATTGGTTGATACACAAGGATTAAATGAACATTTTACTTGACCGTGATGTGTTTTAAGTGTATCACTGGACTCAATCTGCTAATATTTTTTTTCCCAAAGGTAACCACTGCCCTCACTTACAATATGCTATATAATTTTGCCTGTTTGGATTTAAGAGATAAATAGAATCACACGGTAAAAATGCTTTTGAGTCTGGTTTCTTTCACCCAACATTATGTTTGTGATTTGTCCACATTGTAGTAACTGTAGCTGGTTTACTTTCTTTCTGTATAGTATTCCAAAAGGCATCATAATTCAGTCACTCATTGCATTATTGGAGATGTGGGTTGCTTCCACTTCAGGGCTATCTCTACATAAGGATATAAACTTGCATATTCGTGTACATTCTTTCAGTGCAATATGTGAACCTTATTGAAACTGCTCAGCCAAAGGTCATATTTAACATTTCAGGTACTACTAAACAATTTTCCAGGTGTATAATTTGCAGACTCATCTGCAGCATATGATAGTTCTCATCTCCATCTTCTCCAACAGTTTGTATTGTGATCTTCATTTCCAGCAGCTGTTTTTATTTATTTTTAAGATTTATTTATTTTAGAGAGAGCATGGGCAGGGGAAGGGGCCGGAGGGGAGAGGGGCGGGGGGGACAGAGAGAGAGAAGCAGACTCCCCACTAAGCAGAGAGCCTGCCACTGGACTTGATCTCAGGACCCTAGGATCATGACCTGAGCCAAAATCGAGTCAGACGCTTAACTGACTGGGTCACCCAGGCTCCCCAACAACTGTTTTTAAAAGTTCTATACTTCTACTGTCTAAGACAGTAGCCACTAGATACGTGTGGCTACTGGGCAACTGAAATGGGGCTGCAGCAACAGAGGAACCGAGATACTGACTTTTTAATTTTAACTAATTGAAATTTAAATTTAAAAGCTAATACTCTATTGACTAGTGGAAAACTTTTAATTTGGAACAATTTCAATACGCCAATCTACTTTTTCAACTCTAAGTTTTATGAAATTGAAATATAAAGGAAGTATTTCTGATGAAAATTTTGTATCCAAGTTGGGATAGGCAGTACATGTAAAATACACAATGCACTTGATTTTTTTAGTAAAATCTCCATTTTTTACATTGAAGGTATGTTGAAATAATATATTGGATGTATAGGTTTAAAAAATATTAAGATAAATTTCATCTGCTTCTTCTCACCTTTTACATGTGGCTACCAGAAATTTAAAATTACATATGTGGCTTACACAGTATTTCCACTGGACAGTGCTGCTCCATGCTACATATAAACAAAATAGATGAAAATTCAAAAATATACAGCCTGCTAAAGTATGAATATATTGTCTGCAAAAATGGTACAGAATACTTGTTATATAAAACGCAATTTCACTGCTCTACTCCAACAATGAATCCCTCAATTTAAATATAGGTGCGCCCTCTAAAAGGGAAAACCTTAACTCTAAATTTAAAATAAAATGCATAATGACTACAGCACACAAGATTCTTTTAGTAACAAAAAATTAAACCAAGTCTTCTTGGCTAGTGATTTAAATCATACATAACCTGTAGCAAAAGGAAGTTTGGTCTTTTAAATTACATATTCTTAACAGGTGGGGGGGGTAAAAGAGAGCCTGGTGCTGGTCACAGATTTTAGTTATTTTAAAAATTAAACACACACACTAGTTAATATAACTAATAAGCTAATCACACCATAACAACATCTAATGCCCTTTGAGAGAGAATGTACAAGTAATAAAAGCAGAATGGAAGGGGATCCTTCCTGGATTCTTTAGCTGAAACCCCCAGAGCAAATCCTGCCACATCACAAGGCACTCCGTTTGTGCGCCTCTAGGGTGTTAGTTATTTGCATTTTCCTGCAGGGCAAATAAAAACACTTGGTCATCCTCCCACTTCTAGACAGCGGAGATGGGAGCGAAAGGCAGTCTTGGCCTCACAGAGAGAGCTACTCAGGAAGGATGCGGAGATTCTGCGAAAGACGGGACCAGTGGGGCGCAGCTGGCCCCTGACACCAGCCACCCCGGTTGCTGGTTGACCTTACCACCTTCGGAAGAAAATAACCCCTAAGCCTGAAAAAAGCTCTCCACGTCCACCCCTGCTGCTCGACAGGTAGGCAAGGCTGGCGGGCCAGCTCCCAAGGCCGACTTACCCAGATCCAGAGCCTGGTCGCACCTGAGCAGCGCGGCCTCGGGCTGCTGCTGGCGCTGCAGACCCCGCGCCTGGCCAGCCAGCCTGCGCACGCGGCACTCGGCCGGGAAGCACTTCTCCAGCAGGCCGCTCAGCACCACGTTGACTCGCCGAGCCTGCAGCCGGGCCGGCCCCGACTCCACGCAGCGCTTGCACACCGTCAGCCCGCACGGCAGGGTCACCGGCTTGTGGAGCAGGCGCTGGCAGCGCGGACAGCCCAGCAGGTCACCGGGCGCGACGGGCGCCGAGGCCGGCTGTTCCCCACGCGGCTCCTCGGGGGCGCGGCCCGGCCTCCCAGCCGGCAGCCGCCACTCGCGCTGGCCCAGGGCGCACGCGAGGCTGCCCGCCAGCTCCCCCAGCTCGTCCGGCCGCAGCGCTCCGAGCCGCGCGGCGCCGCGGAACGCGCCCAGGGCCTCGGGGAGCCGGCCCGCGCGGGCCAGCGCGTCCCCCAGCCGCAGGCACAGGCCGCGGTCGGGCTGCGCCAGCCCGGCCAGCATCGATCGGAAGAGCTCCGCTGCCATCTCATACTCGCCAGCGCGGAAGGCCTCGTCGCCCTTCTCCAAGCGCTTGGCGAAAGGCTCCCCGCAGTCGCAGCCGGGGCATTGGGGCGGCGGCGGCGGCGGCGGGACCGGTTCGGGGCTCATAGCCACGGGGCTGCGGCGCCGTAGGCCCGGACGGAAGAAGCCTAGGCGAGAGAATATTCCGCTGCCCGGGGCCCAGCGGCGGAACCGCGGCCGCCGCCTCCGCCAAGAGCCCCGCGCGTCTGGGGGCGGCCGCTCCGGGCCGCGGGTACCACTGGCAAGGGCGGGCGCAAGGCTGGGGCGGTGTCCCCCGCGCGGCGTGGGCGGCCGGTCCCGCCGGGCCACAACCCCACCCGGGCAGAGGCGGGGACGGGGCGGGCACGGCCTGAGTCCCGGCGCTCGCGAAGTCCCCTCCTCGCCCCGCTCGCTTATGTAACCCAGGCGGCCTCTAAGAACGTGGCGACCCCCTCCCCACGTCCGCGTCTCCTGCAAACGCTCTCCCTCCTCGTCCCGGGGCGGCCGGGCGCGCGTGTGCGTGCGCGTTCGCCTACACGCGCCCCTCGCTGCGCGCTCTCTTCTCGCCGCCGCGGCCGCGCCCGAAACAGGTGTCCGCGGCGGGCCTGGCGCCCAGCTCTCCTCCTCCGCGGCTACAGCCTTTTCCCGGAGGCCTGGCCGCCCGCACAACCTGTGGCCGTGGTTAAAAAGGGAACCGAGGCAGCTACCAAGCACGTCGTGAATTTGATTTACGAAATTGTCTTAGGTGACAGGAGAGCCTGAAGTGGGCACTGAACAGATGTCCAGGAAGCTTCCTAATGGAACTCTAAATTTTAGACTGAGACATTTTCGAATTGTGATTTAGAACAGTAGTTTTAAAAACAGATGACGTAAAGAAATCCCATGCTAGGTGCTGGGAGGAGGAGGGATCTGAGTAATGGACAATTGTACTGTGCCCTTGGATTTAGAAAAGCAGAAATAGAATTTTTAAAAATGTCTCCTAACGTGGAGTACTGCAGACAAGTTGCTGGAAGGAGGGAGTTAAAAGCTACATTGGTGTAGGAGCAAGGACTAAATGTTCCTTCTGTGCTCATTAACCAGTTTATAGAATTCTTCACTAGACATGGCCTATTGTTTATTCCATTTTTTTAATTCTATGTATTTGAAAGCAATAAAATGCAATATGCCAAAATCCGTATGTTCATTATGTCAAGTCGCAATTTCTTTATTCTAAATTTGTGAGGCTTAACATTAAAGCTGATGACTAAGGAAATATGAAATACCTTAAACCTGGTTTTGGGAAAGGGGAAATGCCTCCTCCATAGGTGAGGAGAGAAAAATTAAACTAATTCACAAAGGGAAAAAAGAGACAACTTTGGCCAATCTCCTAGTCCTATAATCAATGCAGAGAACATCCCACCACCTCCCATTCCTCCGCCAGCCCTTCCCATGAATGATTTCCACAGGTCACGGGGCGCGAAGGGCTCTCTATTTTGACTGATAACAGTTATAATCAGAGTAGGTTTTGATGTGTTTCTCACTACTAAATTATTCCAAACTCTCTTTTTAATCACTTTTGGGTTTTTTTATCTACTTTCTTTATACAGTAACAGTTCACTTACTTGAAGGTTGCTTATTCAACAAATTCACAACCAACAACCAGAAAGCTCAGTGGAAAAAGCTGAGTAGTTAAATTAGTGCTGCAAAGACGAGACACTAAAGATTAACACGTCTTTCCATTTGCTTAGGTCTTCTTTGATTTTTCTCAGCGATGTTTTCTAGTTTTTAGTGTACAGGTCTTACACTTTTTTTCACACTTATCCTTAAATTTTACATAATTTTTGTAATAGTGTAAATAGAATTGTTTTTAAATTTCAATTTCCACTTGTTGCTAGTATATAGAAATCCAATTATTCATTCCATAGGTTACTTAGAGGTGTGTTAGTTTCCAAATATTTGAGGATTTTCTACTATTGATCCCTATTTTCAATCCACTGAAGTGAGAGAACCTACCTTGTATGACTTCTTGAATCTCTTAAAATTTATTGAGACTTGTTTTATGGTTCAAATATGTAGTATATTAGCAAATGGTCCACGTGCACTTGAAAAGAATGTGTATTCTGTTGCTGGGTGGAATGTTCTATAAATGTTAATCAGGTCAAGCTGGTTGGTAATATTGGTCAAGTCTTCTATATCCTTACTGATTTTCAGTATACATGTTTTACTCATTGTTGGGAGAAGGATATTGAAATATCCAACTATAATTATTAATTTATTTCACCTTACATTTTTATCAGTTTTTGCTTCCTATATTTTGAAGAATCAGTATTGTTAAGATGTCAATTATCCCCAAATTGATCTACGAATTCAAATCTATCTCAATCAAAATCCCAGCATGCCTTTTTGTAGAAATTAGCAAGCTAACTCTGAAACTCACATGAAAATGCACAGTACCTAAAATATCAAAAATGACTTTTTAAAAAAATAACAGAGTCTTCAAGGCTCATTATTAAGCTATGGTAATCAAGACTGTGGTTTTGGTGTCAAAAATAAACAAGTAGAGGGCGCCTGGGTGGCTCAGTTGGTTGGGTGACTGCCTTCGGCTCAGATCATGATCCTGGAGTCCCAGGATCGAGTCCCACATCGGGCTCCCTGCTCAGCGGGGAGTCTGCTTCTCCCTCTGACCCTCCCCCCCTCATGCTCTCTCTCTATCTCATTCTATCTCTTAAGTAAATAAAATCTTAAAAAAAAATAATAAACAAGTAGATCCATGGAATAAGAGATTCCAAAAACAAACCCACACATGTATATTGGCAACTGATTCCTGACAAAGCCTATTCAGTAAAGAAAGGATAGTCTTTTCAGTAAATAAAGCTGGACTAATTGGGTATCTATAGGCAAAAAGGAGGAAAAGAAGGAGGAAGGGGGAGAAAAAGGAGAAGGAAAAAACTTTTATCTCTACCTAGCATTGTATATGAAAACAAACTCAAAGATGATTGACCTAAAAGTGAAACTATAGAACTTCAAGGGGAAAAAATGCATAGGAGAGAACCTTTGTGACCCTGGGTATTATATTTAACAGCAAAATCATGATCCATAAGAGAAAAAAAGAAAAAAGGAGCTTCTTACATCTGGGAACTGGTCTGACACTTACAGCAAGGCCTCAGTGTTATTTCAAAGCTAGCCTGATGCTCACAACTAGTTAATGTTGCTCTCCTGTCAGGCATAAACCATCTCATAAAACACCGACATCAGACCAAGTCACCCTGACACCACGATAAAGTGAGACAAAAACAAGGTCACTATTGGGTTGCCTGGGTGGCTCAGTCCATTGGGCAGCCAGCTCTTGATTTTGGGTCAGGTCATAATCTCAGGGTCTGGGGATTAAGCCCTGAGTGGAGCTCTGTGCTTAGCGGGGAGTCTGCTTAAGGATTCTCTATCTCTCTCCCTCTGCCCCTCCCCCCGTTCGCACATGCATGCTTGCACACACTCTCTCAAATAAATAAATAAATCTTTAAAAAAAAAAAAGGTCACTATACAACCCACAAAATATTGAACATTCCCTTCTCCCATCTAAAATGAATAATTACACTTCTTTAGCAAGTGCAGCTTCATCCTCATTCTGGTTTGCTCTCCTTTTAAATAAGATTCAGTAAGAACCCAATTATAAACTTGTACCTACCAAAGCCCAAACCCCATAATAGGTTTTCTAACATCCTCTCACCAAGACTTCCCATGGTTCCCCATGGTAAGTATTCTCCCTCACTGCAATGAATAATAAACCAAAATATAAATTATAAAAATACAAAATACAGTGTGCCTGGTGGTTTGCGGCATTGATGAGTTGATAAATTGGATGTATGAAAATTGAGAACTTCTATTCTTCACAAGAGACTGTTAAGATATGCCCTATACTTCCTGAAACCAATACTGTGCTATATGTTAACTAACTTGAATTTAATAAAAAAAGATATGCCCACACTTGAAGAAATATTTGTAAATCATGTATCTGATCAAGGACTTGTATCAAGCATATATAAAGAACACTGGAAACTCAATAATAGGAAAACATAACTGACTTAAAAATTAGGCCAAAGATTTGAACAGTCACTTAACTACAGAAGATATATTGATGGCAAATAGATACACGAAAAGATGCCCAGATAGATTATAATTGCCTAATACAGGTTGTAAAATTAGGACAACTCAAAATTATCACAGGAGTGCAATATATTGGCAGCTGCTGAAGTCTGCTCAAGTAGAATGTGATTTTAAGGTATTTTGTTTCCATTTTTTAAAAATCATTTTGAAAATTAAGGCAACAAGCAGGAACTTCTGCTCTGACCTCAATTCTAGGAGGAAGGGATGATTTGGCAAAGTGGGAGTGATGGGAACTTGCAAGACATTCTTTGTTATGTTAGAGTGAATTATAGACAAGGAAAAAGAAACTGGTATTATTTGGCATGTGCCTTAAATCTTAAAAAGAATATTTCATAATTTCCAAAGAAAAGATAATCATGAATTATGATGAAACTTTATAAAAGAAAGAAGAGTCATAAATATGAATTTCTGCCAATGTATTATTAATTGAGGTCACAGTGGTAGTGGGAATTGGGGGTAGTTTCAGATTATACCCAACCTCACAGGATGTTGTAGACTTTAGCTTTCACTTTGAGTGAAGAGGGATGCCATTGGAGGGTTTTAAGCAGAGGGTTAATATGATTTGACTTACATTTGAAAATGTTCACACTGGTTGCTATGTTAACCTATAGCAGATTATTATACAACCTCAATAATAAGGTAAGAAACTTACAACATACTTCCACTCTCCACACCACCTTTTGTGCTATTCTGAAAAAAAAAATCTTCATTTTGCCTTTAATTATTTTTGGTGATCACAGAATTTTAAGTTGAAATTTACTTTCAGCAATTTAAAGATGTTTTCCATTGCTCTGGCTTGCATAGTTTCTGATAAGAAGTCTCTGATTATTCTTTGTTGCTCTTTAGGTAATATGTCTTTTTTCTTCTGATCATTCTTAAGGTTTTCTGTTTAACACTATTTTCACGAATTTGATGTGTCTTAATGTGTTTTGGGGGGCTGTTTTCACTTTTTGGGTTCATTGAGCTTC